AGAAGAAAAGCCATGCAGTTCTGGGGACATAGTTCTTCCCTGTGCTGTGAGATCATGTCAGATGGGTCAGCTAGAGCAGCTTGCTGCTAACCTGGAAAATTCACTGGCATTCAAACTCTTAACACAGAAGCGGATGGAGCAATCCCGACTGAAGGGCTGAACCTGGCCTTGACAGTCCTTATTACGATGACGGTCTGATGAAATGTCGGATTCTTCTGCATTTTGTCCCTGTATCAAGTATAGCCTGTTACTTCCTCCTTCCATAGGAAAACACAGTAAGGATTAAAGTATTGCATTCTTTATTGTTTGCTCTCTGACTTTTTATTGTTCTTTCTGAATAAAACTAAAGTGTTGGGGGAATTAGTTACACTAAGTGCTGATAATGAGATTTGATGTGTCAGAGTGCAGAGAACGAGCTCCTGACAGCCAAAAGATTTTCGCACCACTGTAAATAATACTATGCAATGTCACACTAATTCTGTACCTCCTTACTCAGAGTTGTCTGTTGAGCTAGGGAAGGCTGCGTGCGTGTGTGAGCAGAGACTTTGCAGAACCCTGCACAACTGGACTCACGAATACGTGCACTTGTAGCTTTTTCCAGAAACTAACTTTTTTTAGGAATACATCTTAGAGTTCTTCATGCCATTTGGTAGAAAATCAGTTTTTTCCTTGTTTCTTCAGGTTGGTTTTGGGCTGTTGCTGTTTGTTTGGGCTTTGGTTTTAAGAGACTGATTCAGTAGTGGAACCGCTGCTGACTGGCAGACGTGGTAACTCAGTGCTTCTTAACTTGCTTCTGCCTTCTGAAAGACAAAGGCCTACTAGTGAAAAACCAATAGGCACACCTTTTACTGAACAGGTGAAGTAAAATGCAGATATTATCATCTTCCAATTACTGTTCAGTTATTAATTCCGTATGTAAAAATGTACAAATGAAGTGGAGGATGGGAGAAAAAGGCTGAGCCCTTGCAAAGCATGCAAGAAAAAATACGCAACACTCACTTCAGAACATTATAACAAAATGAGCTAGTGTATTTTATTTTGGGTAACAGCCAAGAAATCTGACATTTTGCCCAATATGGCTTTCTTCTAAAATTAAAAAGTTGCATATACCTACAGTTGAGTCCACCAGCTACAGAAAATCTCGTCTATACATCTTTAACTCATGGCAGCATCACCAGAATACAGCTTTCAGTGGCGTTTTCAAGCTGAATTATACGATAGAAGTTTTAAAATGTTCATTTAGAAGATTTTATATTGTTTATATGAAAACATACAAATTTTTCATTTATACATATACTACATATAAAACTCATTGTAATTAGCAAGTGTCTTCATCTGGGTATTTACCTTTGTGCATACAGCAAAAAAAGGTTGCAATTAGGGCTTCAGATGAAATATTAAAGTTCAAGACCTTTGTATATGCTAACTAAAACCTTATTCAAATGCAAACGTTTTTTCCTGCTTTTAAAAGGTAAGAGATTCAGCTTAAAAATACATTCATAAAACAAAGAGACAATTTTCTCCCTGAGACTACCAGTGCGATTTACTTTGTGGTAATCTTTGAATGAAAAAAAAAAATATTAAGAAAAAATACAACAAGCTCTAGTTTTCTATATGCTGCAGCAAATTTCTCGAGCAACACTGGCATCATAAAAGGTGTAGACTGGAGAATCATGCTCACTAGCTGAAAAAACATTCTCATATATCAGTTTAAGAAGAAGAAAAAAAACTTTACTATAATCAAGGGAAGGTAATTAAGTTTTAATGAAAGACCTGTATCTGTAGTATGTATAAATGGGAAAAAGTAGGATGGTGGTTTTGGTTTGGTGTTTTTCTCATTTCAGACTTGAATTTTATCCAAAGCAGGACTATATGCTCAAAATGTAGATTCTTGATTTATGCGGAGATACTTGGTACAGTATCCTAAATGTTTCAAGTATTTGTTTTTGTTAATATTCATAAAAGAAACACATAACTTGCAGGAACAGATTCTGTTTAAATTAAATGATAAAAATGTTTGATTATAACTAGATGGCAAAGTCTCATGAGCAACAGGTAAGGAGTCAGCCCCCCTCCCCAATGAACAGCTCCTGATTTGTGGCTTTTTTCATCCTCTTGTCAAAATCACTCTGCTCTGAAGGCTAGCAGCTACACTAGTTTTAATTCATTTCACGTTCTTCCTTTTAAATGTGAGAGAGAGAGAGAGTTTTTAAACTGCTACAAAGTAACAGACTAGAATTGGGAAGCATTAAACACATCCTGCCCAAACTGGGGAGTGAGAGAGAGATACTTTTTCCTTTTATAATTTAAATTGTATTCATAGTATCCATGCAATTACATTATTTTTGGGGGGAAAAGCCTTACCTGAAATGAAAGAAAACACATTTATAGGAAAAAGGGGGAAAACATTATGTTTGTTCTACCAAAATTTATTATGCAGTAATTACAAAGTTTAAAGATTCTTCCATTTTAAATAAAAATAATAGTTATAATTACACACATTATATAGTACCATGTCAAGTGAATCCAACAAATATAACATGAAATACAGTGCAGTTTCAAATCAGAAAGACAAATACTTTCTCATTCACAGTGTTCGACAAATTACAGGAAAGCTTGTTCACATGAGGGTTTACGTAAGGTCATGCTCTTATAAACAGTCCACATCACGCTGTGCCACAAAAAGAAGTTGTCTCTCAGAACGTGAAGTATCGGGCAAACCACTCCTGGCGTTGTGGATCTGGTGAAGCCACTGGTGAAGCGTCAGTCTGAGGAGGGCTACATTCACAGAAAGAAAAAAAAACACAATACCCTATTATCCCACAACTACAGAAAAAGTACAAATGTTAGGAAGAAAAAAAATGGCAGAGAATATTCAGTAGAGAACACGGTCTGTTTTTCCCTGGGTTAATTAGCAGTGTGCCTCAGGACAGGATTTAATGTCTCCCTATAGGATCTGTGATCATCCACTCCATTGGAGAGCATCAGCAGCACAGACAAGTCAGTTCAGAAGCCACATTACAGGGTGGGCAAATAAGATTTTGGAAAACAGAATTTAAAATCTCATAAACAGCTGCAGGTTTTCAGAATAAAAAGAGTTTTCTTGGAAAAGCGTGACTGTAGGAGGTCCTCTTTTAGCATCCTTTTCCTGTGGTAAAGTTAATTTTCAAAAATATGATGCGAGCATCATATTTGTAGACATGTGCTCACAAAGACTGGTTGGCAACTGAACAAAAGTACGCACTATTTTAATACTTAACACCAATCACAAATATCACTTGCATTGTTGTTCATGCACACATTTAAATCAGGCTAGTATACTAGGAAAAAAGAAACGGCTGCACTGCAAACAAGATTTGGTTCCCCCTTGAACACTTAAAATTCTCGTAAAATGAGCAAGAGAGAATGATTTAATTACACAATTGGGTTCCTTTATCAATAGAAATCATCAATAAAATAATCCCTACTGTATTATTGGATAATAGAGAGCACAAACCAATTTGGAATGGAAACGCCAGCGTCACGGTCCATGAATTCATGCACATGCATGCTACAGGTATCTAAGCACACTCATGCACATCACATGCACAGGAAAAAAAATAAGCAACAGTACTTGTTTTAAAAAAAGATTGTTTTCTTCAAATAGATTGTTTTCCCTTATTAGATTCTATTATTTGTTTCCTTTTGTAATTAGTAGTTGCTAGGTATGTGGTCTTTTGCATTAAACCAAAGGAGAGGGTAAACAACCGACGGTGGAACTGGTAATTACACAGTGCTTTAAGTTGCCAAGTTAGAGCTCAGCACCTACTAACTACAGAGTACAGCACTGCAGTGCACTTAATATGTAGGCACATAAAGCCAAAAGATTAAAATCCTGCCTCTAAAATGCCATTTTTAAGTTATTCAATTCACTATGTTATTTTGTGAGAGAATTACTTGAGACTTTAATGCTGGTTTTGATTCCTGGAAGCTCAGCACTAAGCATCCAAGCATGCACGTTTCCTGTTGCTGTAGTAAGGTTACTCCGATGAAACAATTCGATAGGGGTGAGGAAAGGGGAAACACAAAACATTCATGGAGCACAGAAAATAGTTTTCTTACATAAAAACCATTATCACATAATACCGAATAAAAGAAATTCTGTGCTATTATCAATTCCTAAATGACAATCGGTAAATAACACAAACATTTAAAACAATTGTTCATATATGTAAACAATTGGAAGCACATGAATTCTATTAAAGTATCTAAAGAGGTTTTCAAAGTTCAAGACTTATGAAAAAGTGAGAGAATACTTCACATTTCAACAAGGTCTACAATAAAAAGGAATACTATAAAGAGGTTACAAATACAATGTAAAAATTAAAAATGCCCTGAGTACTTGTACCTCTGAAAGGTTCATAAAGCAAGTGGGATTCGGCTCAAGAGGAAGGCAAAATTTTCCTGGGTTAAGCAAAAAAAAGAAAAAAAAAGAACAAAAAAAGATTGGTGAGGCAGTGCTCACCTCAAAAACGTCTTGGGCTCTTTGGGTGGCACTGGCTGTGGCAGTGGTTTGCTGCTGTTGAACTCAATATCGTGGATGGGTGAGGTAGGAATGGGGTCCAGGCGGTTAGGATGTCCATTGCCCACCACTCCGCTAGATTCCAGAGCACTTAGATTGGGGACACTCACAAACCTGTTTGTTGATTTATCGTTCTTCTTCTTTTGCTGCATTAAAAATAACAAAGGTAAGGAAGGCTTCGTGCACCAGGACAGATGAGGAAATCTGCAAGTTTAAAAGTTTTACGGATGGCTGGTTTGGGGTTTTATTGAAGGAGAGCGATTGGGACAGCTCCCATTGTAGCTTTACTATTTGCTTTGACCAGACCTGGCCACCACAAATTTTCGCAGAAAAATCAAATTTCTAATTATTGTACAGGAGTTCAGGCTCTTGCAGAAGGAAAAGGCCAGGGCGGGCACGCCAACACAGCCACCGCCTCTGGGCACCAGGTGGCCCAACTGAACCTTTTTCTTTTCTTGGCACTCTGTACTCCTACCGATAGCATTTCAAGGGACTCAAAATACTGAAGAATTTTATTTTTATGTCACTATTTTACTCTCCATAACACATCAAAGGAATCGGTATTTATCCTCTCTGCTTTTATAGATATTTTAATGTAGAAGGACGCCTCAAATAATTCTAGAGCTGTGACAGGATGCCATGTGTATTTTCTGACTTCTGTCAAATATTCTGTGTCCACAATAAAATATTAATATTAAAAAAAGCCTTATTTCCAAAAATAGGATTTGTGAATGAACGGATTCATTTATTCTCATGAATTATGTATTGTTTGAATCGGTAATAAATACTTTCATTCAATTACATATATGCAACCCTACCAAAGCAGCTAGGAGAAAAACCCCTTAGGGGCTTATGAACTACACAAATTTGAACTAAATAAAGTGAAAGACAAGTGGAATCTCATGTTGTTTCTATATAATATTTTCCAGCAGAATTCCACTTGAAATAGAAGAGCTGCCCTATTCGAGGGTGGGCACAAGTTCAAACAGAGACAGACCGAGAGTCCTATTGCTTGTTCGTGCTTTCTTCTCTTTAGCTCTCTGCTAGCTTTGATTTCAATGCCTGACCTCGCCAGATGCAAATGCTACTAATTGTACCCACACCGGTGGATGTGCCTGTCAAAATACAATTAAAAAAACCCAACAATTTAACAGAAAGCTATAACGGAAGAAAGTCTTTTTTAAGCATCACAGTGAAAGATCATTAGCTGCAAAGGATTAAACGAAGATTGTCCCATACACTTTACTTCTTCTGTAGTAGCTGAAGAAGCAGGACATAATATTACAGTGGAAAAAATAGTTTGGTAAAAGTAACCAACTGTATGTAAAATACATCTGCAAAGTAAAACACACTGTAATTAAAATGGTGTGTTAAACACACTGTAGTTAAATCTGTGTGCTTCATAGGTGGCTCCTTTCTGCAAAAATGTGTATTAGCCACGTAAGCGTTTAGAAAAATACTACAGTTTGTATCTTATTCTCTATAAAGGAATCTATGCTTCTGAAGCAGTCAAATCTGGAGAGACAAAATTGTGCGTATTGTTTCCATGAAATTCATGCAAAGTATTAAGAAACTTCAGAGGTAACGATGTCATACTAAACAGATCCATTGCACAAATTAGAGAAGCTGTAATACGTACTGCAATGGCCGTCATTTTGCATTAATATGCAAAGCCTGTAGTAACTCATAAATTCTGCCTTTTTATTACAAAAAAGAAAAGAGAATGAGATTTTCAGTTTCTTTGTAATTCATTCTCCAGTAACACAGCACATGCTTTGACAAAATAAAGTAACATAGCCCACAACTCACGAAATGAGAGATCAAAATGTTCTGGCAAACAAGACAGTTTTAAAGTCTAAACAGTTTTAAGTGACAGAAGAATATTATAAAAATATATGAATTATCACTATGGAAATCTGATGTGGAAGTACTTTTCCCAAACACTTCAGATTTCACAGAACACACAAGCTTCTATACTTGACGGTTACATTTCACATCTTTGAGTGGTTCAGACAAACTTCCAAAATTTTCAGACAATCTTTACCACATAAAACCAAAGCATTCAGATTGTGTCAGGCAGTCCTGGCATTGTCTCTACTGGGCCCAAACTAAGTTCTTTTATGTAGTTATGCCTAAAAGTTAGGCATCCGCAGGTAAGCTCATGGGAGCTGCTGGGCTCCTGAAAAACACTGGAGAATATTGACAATTTGCAGCAGAGTTTGTGCAGAAGTGGGAAATACGCTGATCTGATGTGAAACTACGGTCAGACTTAGCTAACGAACACAGCCTGATCTCCAGCAGGGAGCCAGACCGCCTCTGAAATAACAGAGCCTGAACTTTCATCACCGAAGCTCTCGGGCATCTGAGCTGCTCGTCTTGTGCCCCTTGGGTTACCCTCTGCCTCAGAACCTTCCCGAGTCCTTCTGCCTCTGGGACAAATCTCTTCCCCTTCCGCGCAGGTGAAATAACCTACGGGTTATCACAAGGAGAAAGGAAATGTCAGAGGACTCATTTTCACTCCTGAAGTGGTGAAAAGAAATGGAATTAAGGTACCCTACCGCAGCCTATGCGTGTTCCTCACGAAGGAATGCTGCTGGCTTTTGAAGTGGCAGGGAGGCTACTACGCCTGCTCGTACAGGAGCCTTCACCGGCTGCTCT